GCTGTGTTGTTTTGAACAAAGTACTATATCCTTAATTATTTATTCACCCTAGCTTGTAGGAAGCTGATAACTTCCCTAAGAAACCCCCATCATAGAGTATTGTCTGTGCATTCCATATGGGCATTGCAATGGATTACTGAACTCAACAGAGGGGTCAGTTGTTCTGAGAGGACCAGAGAGTGTGTGAATCGGGTTATAAAGGATGGAAGGTGGAATCATGTCTGACCTCTGCCTAGAAGTAATATCCTTGGGATTCTCCTGCTTTCTAGTGTAGCCAGAGGAAGGAGATCAGATATGCGCTCATGGCATCTACTCTTTTACTGTATATACAATTTGGTTCCTATGCAATTGTAAAATAACTGTCCTTAATAAAGGACTCTAAGTAACCCGATCAAACAATTTTTACTTAACAAAACAAAAACAACAGAAAATATGGGGGAAGGGAGACAGCAGTCGGTGTGAGATATAAAAATAATAACAATTTATAATCTATCAAGGGGTTACCAGTGAAGGGGAGGAAGGGGGAAAAATGAGGAGCTGATACCAAAGGCTCAATAGAAAGTAAATGTCTCGGAAAGAATGAGGGCAGCATATGTACAAAACTGTCTGATACAAGTGATGTATGGATTGTAACAAGAATTGTAAGAGCCCCCAATAAAATGATCTTTTCATTTAAAAAATAACTGGCTTCTACAATATTATTTCCTACATATAACATTAGCTTCAATATTAAATATAGATGAAGTATTAGAAAAGGACACATTTTTCTTCAGCATGGGTTCCCAAACCTATTTTGCCTACTGCCCTCTTTTCAGAAAACCATAATAACCCAAAACAAAAACTCAGCATCACTTTGGCAATGCAAAATGTTCATACTGTAGCCCCTCCTCCAGGATAAAGAATGGTATCTGATTTTGCAGGTCCCTGGATCTTTCCGGCCTCACCTATGGGTCAGAATCACCCACTTTGGGAAACACTGTTCTACAGAAACATATGGTTTTTTTTTTTTCAGAAACATATGTTTTTTAACTATGTCAAAAGAAGATATTTTCAACAGGTCAGATAACTGTGATGTATTTGAAAATAAAATGCATTAAACATATTCTTTTATTCAATTTTAATGTAATGAAGTCCATTTAAAAACAGATGCAGAAGTCCCAGTAGCTAAGAGTGTGAAGATAAAATGAGATCATTCAATTCTATTCTTGCTGATACCAAAGTAAGCAATTTTCTTTTTTCCTCTTCCTAAATATCCTAGTCTTCGAACCCTTTATCTTTTCTTTCTCTCATTTCTAACTTTCCAATTCTCTCTTTTTATCTGTCCTGAAAAAAATTTTCAGGGATATTAGCATGACAGTAATGTAATAAACAGATACTGGCCAATAAATTATCTGAAAGAGTTTTCTCTCATTATATCTATTTGGAAGCAGACATAAAAATACACTTTAAATAACTAAAAAATATTGTGTTTTAGAATAGAATATGAAATTTTGAAAAACCTAAAGCCGAATGCACACTATGTTACAATGCAACTAATGACACAATTAACAACTTGAACAATGTTCAATATTTTCATCCTGAAAGAAGACACACCATTTTAAACATATGTTATTTCACCCAGATACTTAGCATCTACTCTCACAAAGAGTTAAAGTTTCAGAAGCCCACCATTCTACCCTGACCAATAGGGCATTATAGGTCAAAATCAACTCAATGGCAGCACGTATTTTTGTGAATTTGAAAAGAAAGTGGCAGTTTTCATATCCTTATATTAATAACAAGGGAACAATGCCACAATTTAATAAAAGGAACTGGTTACTAAATTTGTTCTTGGAAGATATTTTGACACCAATTTAGACCCAAAAAATTAGCATTGTCACAGTGTAAAAAAGGTTTTACTACATTAACTTGTTACCAAAGAAAAAGGAAGTATGTAGTTATAGATCTGCCCTGCAGTTGTGAATTGAAAAATCTTGACTGACTCAAAAATAGAAATGTTCTGAATGACAAAAGCCACAAATATTATTTGTAGAGTTCATCCTAAGTATAAACACTGCCAAGTGTTTGCAAGTCTCTTAAGAGCTCAGGTGGGTAGTCCATTGAGCCATCGGGCACAATACATGTTTACTTATTCTCTTCACACATATACCTCCCTGCTGGCATTAATGTAACAGAATCTGTTTGCCAGCTTCCCTGAGGAAGGATATTGAAGAGTTGAAAAACAAACGAATAAACAAAACACTACTACTTATAGGAGCTGCCATCTCCAACATGAGGATTTGAATGAATCGTTGTCTTCATTCACTGATTCAGTTTTTATTGACTGCATGTCTACTATGTATAAGATACTGCTTTTCTGTAAATAAGTTGGAATAATGATATTCATTTAGTCTCCAAGTTCATGTGATAGGGCTTGGATTTATCTGTTTTTCTATATACCTAGGAAGATTCTATTAAACTATTCACACTAAATTTCTAGAAAAAAAATGGTTCTGCATCTCGATCGGATAGAAACTATCTAGAGAGCTGTTAGAATACTGACAGTGGGATCAAGACTGATGTGCTGACTTCCCACGCCTCTGCACCAGGTCCTTAGGCTCCTGGCCTGCCTACCAAGACTTCACTGCTGTGTCCTCCCGACACTGCTGCACATTTATCATACGTTCACCTAGATTCTTTCACTGGCATTTAGTTACTACATCCCCATACAAATTTTGTTATTTAAAAACCCCGTTTTAAAAAGTGTGTTCATAAAATGGATGGTGCACTCAAAATATCCAAAAATCGATGGTTATTCATCTTCTTATACGGAACGTTAAAAGAGACGCAATGACGTAATCTATGTGGGTGGGGGTTTTTTGGTGTTGGGGCTGTTTTTTCTGGTATATCTAAATAATTTTTATTTTCATGAATGCATTTGAAATGTTGATATGTTGCGCTACCAATGCTGCTATCACTAAGGTGCACGATTCTTTCCTCAGGTGGTTTGGCTAGTTTTTTTATTAATACTTTTATTGGGGGCTCTTACATCTCTTATCACAATCCATACATTCATCCAGTGTGTCAAGCACATTTGCACATATGCTGCCATCATCATTTTCAAAGCATTCTCTTCCCACTGGAACCCCTGATATATGCTCCCCTTTTCTTCCTCCACCCCGCCCTCCCTCATGAACCCTTGATAAGTTATAGATTATTTTTTCCATAGCTTACATCCTCCTCCTTTGCCTCTCACCCTTCTCCATTATTCGTCCCTTGGGAGGGGGTTCTACTTGACCCTGGTGTTCGAATGGCCGGGGTTTGTAAGCCCTAAGGAAAATGGGCTTCAACAACAGCAACGTTTTAAAATCTCCAATTACCTATCTATTTCCCTCGGTGGGTCTCTTTTGGCACCCCTTCACCCCATATCTTCCCTCTACAATTTATCACATCCTAAAAGGGCACATTTTCAAAAAGATTACCCTAATCAAGCACGTCCTACACAAACAGATGTGCCTACTTCATAAAAAGAAACACTTGATGTTTGTTTTGGTGTTGTTTAAGAAAAGGAATTAAGGCATTCAAGATCATTGGCATGGTTTCTATGTAGGCCCGTCCTATGATCCTTTTGTTCTCCATTATGACTAATCTGTTAGAAGAAATGAAGAGCCAGCTCTACTTTGTGGTAAATGAGGTTGACATAAATAATTTCCAAGTATAGTTATTAGAAATATCATTTCCTTTAACAAATTTGGCATCTGCTTAAGTTATTTAATGACAGAGTAGAATTATCACTCCTTAAAACAATCTTTTAATTAAAATACCCCCTTTTCCCTAATGTAATTAGTTGATGTAACGATAGTAAGAAAAAGCAGCGCTCTGCACAGATGGGCCCCTGAAAATCTTCTAACAAAGACCAGCACCGCATTGCAATCATCCCCTTATTCTGGTAGATGAGAAACATTCTATTTCCTCTGATTCCTTCCCTGAGAGTATATATTTTTAACCTTTTCCTACTTTCAGTTCTTTCAGCAGGAGCTGAAATCAAGATTTATCTTAAGCTCACAGGGACAGAGGTCTAAGCTGCTCTTTTCAGAAGTTGCCATCAATTTAGCTTTTAAGGGGAATCCAGAAGGAGCCATTTCTGCTCCCTCCAGCTGGCTCTC